GACTAGACATCTTGTAGATGATTTATTTACTATTGAAATGAAATAGAACATTGTCTATGTCTCGTCCCTTAATGGTTTGGATGCTACCCTATAACATATGAGGTTATGACATATTAATTACAAAAGAATGGAAAGATTGAAAAATGACAGTATTCTTCACAATTACAAAGGTGATTTATTGAAAGTGTGTGAGTCATGTGTGTAAGGAAAACTAACAAGAAAAAATACCACCGGGGCAAAAAGAGCTACTAACGTTTTAGAAATCATTCATAGTGACATATGTGGTCATATGAATGTGGCTACCAAAAGCCGCAAAAGATATTTCATCACTTTTATAAATGACCACTCGCGATATGCCCATGTTTATATTATTCACACAAAATCCGAAGCCCTTGAAAAGTTCAAAGAATATAAAGCCGAGGTAGAAAATCAAACTAACTTGAAAATCAAAGTCTTTACAACTGATAGAGGAGGAGAATATTCATCTGACCTTTTCAAAGAATTTTGTATTGAAAACGAAATTATCCATCAGTACACCATGCCCAATACTCCCGAACAAAACGGTGTTACCGAGAGACGAAATAAGACCTTGGTTGAAATGGTAAGGAGTATGATGGGGCACTTTCCCTAGATTTTTTGGGAGAAACCGTGTTGACGGAATGTTATAGCCTTAATTGGACTCTCACAAAAAGCCGTTACACTTACTCCTCACGAAATATTCACCGATCATGCTCCCTCCCTTGACCATCTAAAAGTTTGGTGTTGCTCAGCCCATGTCCTAATCTAGCACTAAAAGATGACCAAACTTCAACCCAAAATTGTAAAAACCATTTTCATTGGCTACCCAGACCATAGTAACGGTTATCGATTCGACAACTTTGAAACCGGGGCGGTTATTAAAAGCCACAATGCTCACTTCTTCGAGGAAGAATTCCTTGAAGTAAGATTGAGTCATAAACAAGCCAATTTTTTTGAGGAAGCAATAAATAAGGATGTGCTTCGAGAACCCCAACGTGAAACTTCTAATAGACTTGAGCTTGAACCTGAACTCAAAAATTGAAATGCAGTGCAAAATGAACTCAAACCCGAACCAAGACGGAGCAACCGAATTAGTAGACCACCTCTATACTTAGAACACTTTATCTACCTCAAGGAACACTATGATAAAGTTGTGGAAGATCTAGATTCTGAACCTAAAACTTACCATGAAGCCTTGTCTTGTCTTGAAAAAGAATATTGGGTAGAAGTCATGAAAGAGGAATTTGCTTCTATTAACCAAAACTATGTTTGGGAATTAGTGACACTACCTCAGAAACGTAAGGCTATAGGTTGTAAGTGAGATTTTAAGAAAAAGCTAAACTCGGAAGGGAAGATAAAAAAATACAAAGCTAGGCTATTTGCAAAGGGATTTACTCAAAAAGAAATGATAGATTATGATGAGACGTTTTCCCTTGTTACCAAATTCACATCTATCCGAATCTTTATAGTCATAACAGCCCATTTTGATTTTGAGATTCATCAAATGGATGTCAAAATAGCCTTCGTAAATTGAGATTTAGAAGAAGAAATCTACATGTGTCAACTCGAGGGATTTTAGGAAAAATGAAAGGGAAACCTAGTGTGTAAGCTTAACACATCTCTCTATGGCCTAAAACAAATATCACGTAAGTAGTACATAAAATTTCAAGAGACCTTTGCCTTTGGGGGTTCTCTATTAATAATGATGACTATTGTATCTATCAACATATCAGTGGGAGTGATGTGGTTTTTATTTCCATATATGTGGATGATATGTTAATTGTTAGTGACTTGATTACCTTAATAGTAGACTTGCATAACACTTCGATATGAAGGATCTTGGAAAATCTTCATATGTGTTGAACATCAAGATAATAAGAAATAGAAAAGAGAAAACTATCCAACTTTCCCATACAACCTACTACAAGAGGATACTGGAAAAGTCCTCATGTCTACCCCAATAGATAAAAAGACGAAGCTTAATAATAAGATGTGTCATACTAAAGATATTGATATAAGAGCTATATAGAGAGTACATTATAAGAGTGCAGTTGGGTCCCTTATGTACGCCATGACAAGAACAAGGCCGAACTTATCTTTCGTCTTGAACTTAGTTAGCCGATTCCAAAGCAATCTTGGAGAGGAGCATTGGAGGGCGATTAAGAAAATCCTCACATACTTAAAAGAGATCATGAACTATGCGCTTACTTACAAAGAACGAACTGAAATAGCTATTGAGGGATATTCAGATGCAAGCTGTCTCGCGGATCTAGATGATGCGAAATCTACATCTGGATATGTGTTTATGCTTGGAGGGGATACAGTTTTTTAGAAATCAAAGAAACAAGATGTAATATCTCTGTCCACCATGGAAGCAGAATACGTGGCATGTTGTTTGGCCGCCAAGGAGGTCGTGTAGATTAAAAAGTTTCTTAATCAATTCAACTTTACCCTATATGTTGTGAGGCAATAAGGATTTTTTGCGACAACACGACGGCAATTTACGTATCCAATGAGCTACGTTTTCATAAGAAATCCAAACACATAAAATAGAGGTCGGCGGAGCCGCTGGTGACCCATGTTTTCGTCTTCGAGGCCCAAACCATCAAATCACTAAAGGCTTCATGCATGATTCCAGGAATTGTCTCGACAACTGTCGAGGCGATCTCTGTTCTCATCTGGCGGTCCATCTCAAAGGATGGTCAGCCCTCTGCATTGGCGCACATCGTGAACATACATCAGGCTCTCGAGCCGTCGCTCCTCGAAGCCTCATTCGAGAATGTTGTCTTGGGAACATTCGCAGAGGATTGCAGTGGCAGTGGCAGTGGCAGTGGCAACGGCGAGAATGAGGAGTTGATGAGGGTAGCGATACACAGTGTGGACAAAGAGTATGTGAAGAATGCGAGGGGGAGGCCGATGGGTCTGGTGGACAGTATGGCGAGGATGAGGGAGCTGTGGAGGGACGGCATTCGTCGGGCTTACGAGCTAGTACGGTTTCCACTATACGAAGATGATTTCGAGTGGGAGTGACCAGTGTGGGCGAGCTCGAGTGGGGCTTGCATGCCGAGGGTGGTGAAGCTGATGCCAACCAGGGACACCGGTGGGGTGGAGATGTGGGTCACTCTATCACCACAAGACATGGATCAGTTCGAGAGGTGCCCTCATATCTTTGCCTACTGTTAGAGGCGATTCTGAGATTTTTGTCAAAAATTTTTGTGAAATTGGTTTTTTCCATCTTTGTAGTATGAAATATTTAGCTTGAAAGCTTTTTGTACATTTGGAATATTGAGTTTTTAGCAATTTTTAGAAATTTTTTTTATGTACATTTATGATTTTTTTTTTTATAGGATTGCATACTACGATTTGCTATTTGGTACAAGGAGGTCACAATTATGTTTATACATTCGATGTAAAATCTAATAGACATGATAAAATGCTCATTAAATGCTAATTTTTTAACTTCCTTCTAAAAACTTGCAATTTTAAAGATTCCATGAAATAAAGATTTTTTAAATTCAACTTGGCGTTTTAACTTATTTCATAAAATAAAGAATTTTTTAAACAATGATGTTTTGTTGTGAGGGGCATGCTTTCTATACTTCCCATAATATATAAAACTCATATACTTCTCCCTATCTAACCATCCATTTTGAATGGCCGGTTGAGATGCCCCCAATCACTATTTCACGCCTCTACACTATTTTATTTGTAATTTTTTTCTACAAAATATTTTGAAACCAAATTTCAATATTATCGATAAAATAAAATGACCAAAATGCTATTAAAAATTTTTGGGGTATTTTGATTATTTTATTTTATCAAAAATATTTTTTAATATTATTTTTAGGTGCACCTGATTGAGATGATGGTACATACCAAATGTTATATTCATATAATTTGTAAAAAAATAAAAAATAAAATACTCTAAAGTGTCAGATCTAGATCAAACGATTAGTGACCTGATTGATCCAAATTGGACAGCTGAATGGGAAAGTATATATCTTCTATACAGCACAAAAAGTATAAAAACCTTTTTCCTATTGTGCGACTTGCTAAAAGTGACATGCACCAACATGCGTCCTTGTGCAAGATAGGGGGGAGAGAAATACTGGGGAAGACAAAGGAATTGGGCATCCTCCAAAGAAAGTCATTGATTATTCCAAAGCCACACTGCAACCTGGCCACCCTATACAAATACTACCAGCCAAACAACCCCTATTGCCACAGAGAGGGAGAGAGAGCAGATCATATTGGGTACTCCGCTTACTCTCCAAAGCATGAACTTATTGAAACAAAAGCCAAATTAACAGACCACTGTACAAGAGAGAGAGAGAGAGAGAGTAGTGGGGAGTATTCTGTGGCCAACTTCAGAGCCGACATTCTAGATAGGGCTTGCAATGGCCGGGCCTGGGCCCTGTTTCCCTGAGAACCAGCCAAGGCCTGGCTCCGCCTGGACCGGGCCAGTGAGGTGCGGTCTGGGCTTGGCAACTAACCCTATCAGGTGGGGCTGGGAGGGCTAATAAAATTATCTAAAAGAAACCAAGAAAATACGGGCTAGGCCGACCCTATCCACGCCCTGGACTAGCCCTCAAGCTATGTTGGCCCGACCTTTGGGCCACATTTTGTCACACAAGTCCTAAATTTTCAGGGCCAGCCTGTGTCCAGCTACCCGGCCCATTGCCACACTTAATTCTAGAAAGAGAAAAGGGGAATGAGATTCTGACTATGGGACACATTCCAAAGAAAATCTCCCAAATGGGGAATGCATTATATCACAATACACCCCATTGGGCATCTTTTCTAGGCTGCGCTGGGCCAGATCACCAGGCCCATTGCCAGCCTTACTTCTAGAAAGAGAATAGGGGCATGAGAATGAGATGAAGGGGCACATTCCTCCCAAGTGGGGAATGCATTATATGGCAATACACTCCATTAGGCATCTTTCCTATAAAAGTACTTCCTTTCCTTTGCCCCATCTGGTGCGCACCTGTCTTTACTATTTCAAACATGAGCATTTCATCTCTCATGGTTGCAACCAACGCCTTGACTTCACAACCAGAGGGTTGAGTCTCTCTCTTGTACACACCCTTGATGAAATGGGAGGCATATGGGGTCGCCTGAGTTCACCACTATCACAAATGAGAGCAAGTTCAAAGCTCCACATGATGGTGGGCGAGGCAATGAAGCGAAGAGTCAGTGCAGGAGGAGGAAGCCCGTTCAGATCCATTGATGGTATGCTCATGAAGTTCCCAAAGCTCATCGAAGGCCTAAAAGAGCTTCACATCATTTTCGACCAATTTGGTGAGATTTGCTTCTTCTGGTGTGATTTCAATATAATATCTGTGGAGCATATTAACAACTCTTAATAGACTGCAATTCTGGAGGTTTCAGTCTAACTGACAAAATGTGGTTTTTCTCTTCCAGACAAAGATTCGAATGGAACCATCAATTGGGAAGAGCTGAGACAGATCTTCTCCTATCTGCAACTGAAATTCAGTGACCAGACATTGGCCAATCTCTATGATGCATGTGAAATGGATGGCCACAAAGGCATAAATTTCGCAAAGCTCGTTCTTCTTCTTGGCTGGTTTCATCTCCTAGAGGACCACCCATATGAATCCCATGCTGTATGCAAACCACACCTTAACTCTCTCCATCGCTGTTTTTAAATCACATCTGAACTCTCTCTCTCTCGATCTCGACACAGATTCATTTGTTCTAATTGTAATATATCGCAGGGTGATCTGCCGCACATAGAGGGAACATTCAATACTCTAATAGATGCGTTCGTGTTTCTTGACAAGAATGGCGACGGTTACATTAACAGGAAAGAAATGGTTCAGGCCATTAAGGAGGCCCCTTCAAAGGAAAAATCCTCCAAGGACACCAAGGACATCGCCATGAACAGATTCAGTAAACTCTCTCACACTCTCTCTCACACACACACACATGCACGAACATGCAAATTGGAAATTAGAACATCATCCAAACCCAATTTAACACAAGAATCTTGCTCTTTACAGAGGAGATGGATTGCGACAAGAACGGTCACATTAGTTTCAAGGAGTTCCTTTTGGCCTTCACTCGCTGGATTGAAATCAATGATGACTACCAGTAAAAAGAAAAAACAACAAAACAAAATAAAATTACGGTCAGACTATCCCACCAAGCTCGATTCACCCATCTTCTTAAACTAGTGTTATCCACTACATTGTAGTGTAAAAGATCCAAACGAGTGACAAAGTGTTGATCAAAATATACAGATCTCATGGTACAATAGCATCAAGAAACACAACTTTCAGCCCAAAACGTCAGGCCTCAGAGAGGGGTCATCCATTGTGGATCTTGTCGAGCCTCACCCTCCCAAACCAGTGAATCACCTTCACAATACATGGGTCTCAATCTCTTCTTCCCCCCTGATTGAAGAGGTGCTCCAGCCGAGCTCTCATTGGAGGTTGCACAACTATCAGCTGAGCAATCAGCCATTTGGGCCTGCCTGTTCAGCTTCTTATCATCCACACAAACTGATGCCATTTCTGGCAAAATGGGAAGGTTCAAAAACTCAGAAGGGGCACTGAGACAGCCATTAGAGACCTTGATGACCAGTGCCGAGAGCTCTTGGCGTGCAGCCTCTAGGCCAGCAGAAGCCACAGTTTGATCAGCCAACGCCTTGCAGGCTTTCTCCAATATCGATTGCAGGTACTTGCCTTGGGCTTCGATTCGAAGTTGGAGATGCTTTTGAACCTGTCGAGGAGATCACAAAAGAAATCATTGAATCAATAGTTGCTCTTCGTTTTTTTCTTTGTTCTTTTTTTGGAATATTGGGGTTTGTTCAGAGTTAAAAGGATATATATATAGATATAGAGAGAGAGAAAGAGAGAGAGAGCTCACCTCCAACTGTTCGTGTAGTCTTCTCTGCACTTCCATATGAACCCGCAGTGCCTCGGTTACCTGGTACCCCCTGCATATGTTAGGAACGAGGTGTCATGCCTATAGGAAATTTACATAGTTCCTAAAGCGTTCTTTTCATTGTGAAGAAATGACGCAGGTTCTAGGGATTTACTCATTCATGTCTTGGCTCGCCAATTTCGAAGATGAGGAAGAAGTTGTTCCTTGACTCTCTGTAACGCAAGAAGCAGCAATTCTATAACATTACATTTTCCTTTCGATGCATAATTATTAAATGTTTCTTAATGAAGCCATTAAGTATAAGCTTTATCAAATAACAATGAGCGATGGTCTATTGATATGAGTACTCATAGAAATTTAAAAGTGCATGGTGTTCTTAGCTCGGAAAAGTTCTAGTTTTGTACAAAAGCATTAAGAGAGATTCGAAAGTGCTTGTATTTCTAAGTCCAGTAATTGTGATAACCAATAAACACTTTGACAAACTTCTTTAGAATATACCAAGCATCACTTCAAATAACATCATTTGTTATCATGGAACCCAGAAAAATCACCTAAAAGCATAAAAAATATCTTCCAGTTTGCTCATGTGGTCAAAAAAAGGAGGGCAAAATGGGAAACATGAAATGAAAACCCTAGACAGAAAGAACTCTGAAGCAATAGAGTGTGCATGGGAATCTGGAACGAACAGTCAGAATGGGTAAGTTTCAATCAGTTCATTGAGTTTCAACTGCTTCAGATATCAGTGTATGGTGTGTGGATTGCTCCAACCAGCCAGTTCGGATGGTTTTCAGCCAGTTCCAGTTCCCAAATCACTTTTTTCTTATTTTCCCCAAAATTTTGCTGGCCAACCTTGTAAGGCAATTGATGCACCGTAATACAAAGATGCGGGTGTTAGGATTGCACTACTCATCAAGGTGAGAACCAGAATAAGGCTCAGATACCCAACAAATCAATCCACAGTTGCCTTGGAAGTTTTTCCCCCCTATATTTAATCAATAAATAATAATCCACCACTACCTAGAAGGCTTAGAGATAGGTACGTCTCTTTTGCAATGGTGGCGTACTCCCTTACTGGTTTGGAAGAAAAATGAAACCTAAATCACAGGACCTTCAGTATTTTAGTAACCCGTCTTTAAATAATTTCAAACCATGGTAAAAGCATGAACTCAGAACAGTCTCCCTTGGTGTTGCGATTCTAATTAGACAGACCTAGGAAGAAGAGGTTCAGTTGAGATATCTCTAGAATAAAAAGAGGAATCAGAAAGAGGAAAATAGGGGTTAGCATAATGTCCTTTCTCTAATAAGGTCCACAGCTAGAAGAGCTTGCTTTTCCAGCATGTTTGAACAACAGGATGCAAGCGTGATATGTTAATCTAATAAAACTACTTTATACTCAAATACTGAAATGCAATGCTACCTAAGGCTACAAGGCAATCTATTTATACAGAGTATAGATTTCAAATTGTTTTTCTCAGAAATCATGGATAGATTATGCAAGCATAGTGGGGGGCAAGTGGAACATTGGTAAGGAAAGGACTAGTTACCCTCTTTGGAGTTGTCAGTGAACTCCTTGCATGACTGCTTGCCTAGCCTGTATTTCTGTTAAACCATAGGAAATTGATTTTGCCAATATTACTAGTAATAAACAAAGTGAACCAGTCATTAACAATGATCTAGCCAGTATTTCTGTCAAACCATAGGGAAATCGATTTTGCCAATATTACTAGTAATGAACAAAATGAACTAGTCATTAACAATGATCCTGTAGTAAAATAGTTCTCTCTTGTTTTATATGTACCAAATATATATAATTCTTTCCCTTTTCTTATTTGATTCATAAAATATATAATTGCAATTACATCAATTTTATAGGTGTTTTCAAGCATAGAAGTAATCGAAACACAACAAAAAGAACAAACAATAGTTTAGGTGAATTTAAGCAGTATAACTTCCAACTCTTGGCTCTTCTGTTTGCTCATGGGTCTTCCGCTTATATAAAAGTAGAAAACTGAAAAAGGAAACTATGCAAAGACCCCATGCTTTCGAAGAATAAAATATCATTTTAAAACTGCAGAATTCTAGCTGAAGTGTGAGATACCTGAAGATGACTCTTCAAATGATAAAGAGTAAGGCCTTTTACACCCATCGTCCTCATTATGGTCTTTGGTGTTGCTTCTGCAAGTAGAAATGGGAGAAACCCATTAAAACAATTTTGAAGACTTTGCGCTTTATTAGAACACTGCTGACATTGTTTATCATTAGAACCTAAAATTGACCAAGTTTACACACAGAAATTCATATAAAAAAGGAATCACATTCCATCATAATATGAAAGCAGCTAACAAGTAACATAGTACTAAACCCCTCATAAATGGATGATGAAGAATAAGCCCTTTATAAACATGAAAAGGTTCTTCTAAACAGTCACAAAGGGATCCAAAATCAACCAGCAAAAAAAAAGCAAATCAGACAATTGCCAATTAGATTTTGAGCATAACCCCAGAAATTCCAGAGAAATATACCATAGAAGCCACAGGAACACCTGAGACACTAACTAATTAAGCAGAAAAATAATCCTGTAAAACTTTTATCATGCCATTCGGTTGGAAAAGCCACCCAAAGAGAAATTCCCATTAAATGCAGTTAACAGCTAGCAACACAAACCAACTCGGAATTTTCTGCCATAGCATTTAACCTTTTAAATTGCATTCTTCCATCAACCACACGTCTCACATGTGCTTTTCTTCAAAAGTGTGTCATGGCAAGATCTTAAGAATAAGAAGAGAACCATTGTTTTAACAATTAAAACAAATATATTAAATCACACCTAAAAGTTGAACTATTTAACATTTCAGCATTGGTGTTATTTAACAAATTTCAAAACCCTAAATGATGTGTTATCGATGGGCTACTTGAAATTTGATCGAAAGAATGATAGGCTAATTAAAATTAGATCAGGATATATGACTGAGATGTGAAATAGTTAACTCATAGGTGTGAGTTAATAACCGCCCCGCCAAAACACCAAAAAAAGAAAAACACATAGTTTTGTGTTTGGAATCAAAGAACTCACCCACGAAATTGAATCTAGTAAGATAAAAGTGAAACCTCAATGCCTCTATCCAACAAAGCCCACACAAGATCCTATAACTCTAACCATGACAGCAATTGCTGATAAAATTCCCAAAGACCCCAACTCCCAAAAAGAACCAAGAAAAAATAGTTATGTCCCAAAGAATCCATTCCACCATAACTAGATCAAATACAATTGCCGAACTGAAGCCTACCTAATGTGTTCCATCCAGCGTTACAAATCAAGGACTGAGGTAGTAGACCCAAGCCCGAGTCCAGTCTGACAGTCGCTATCAAAGATACAAGCAAGTCCAAACAAAAGAACATATAGGAAACTGTGCTGACTCCATTGGTACCCATGTGTTTGGCTCTAGAATCGGCAGCCCGTGGAGCCCGAGTAACTTGGGTGACTCCAAGTTAGACTCACCTATAATTCCATGCAACATACACCTCCAATGCCACATGATTCTCCCAAATCTCAGGGTGCCTATAGAGATACCTTTAAAAGAAGATCTAGATGCCATACCCTACATATTTCCTTAGGCCACACAAGTATGATAGAGTCATTCATAAATTGTACAAAGCAACCAATGCTGCCTCTAGACACACGAACACACATGCTCACATCTGGCACCATAAAAAAGTAAAAACAGAAAATACGGACCTCTTCAACTTCTACATATGTTATCCCCCCCCCCCCCACCCCCCCCCCAACTGCCCCCGAAACCGAAGCCCCCCCTCCCCAACTGCCAAAAAAAAAAAAGCATGATACCTAAAATTTCTACTACATGCCCTCAATGTTTTCTGAAACAATCATGAGCATTTTTAAAAGAAATAAATTCCTTTACTGTCATCGACCTTTTTTTATGCAATTAAGTTTTATTTTTTTAATTCTATAATTTTTTTGGAAAATTAAAATTTAGGCCTGGGATTATTTTGTGTTTCTAATTATCTAAATATTTAGAGGTATTTGTGTCCTTTTTTAGTTCTAGAGAATTGAGGGGTATAATTGAAAGTTAAACATTAAATAGATGAATGACTAGGATTTAATATTGATTTAGGTTTTAGGGTCATTTTCTTCTATACATATGTAACTACTGGACAATAAAAAGACAAAGAAGATAGAGTTTAATTTGGGTCTTGTAAAAAATCTTTTGGGGTGGACTCCCTTGCAAAACTTAAGAGAAGATATATTCTCTCACTCTTTATTTTTTGTCATAATTTTTCTGCCTAATTATTTTCTCTCCCTGCTCCCCCCGTCAATGATATCAAGATCAAATAAAGAAGAAACTTGAATGTATTGGATACCATGAAGCAGTAAATGTCAATGCTAAAGATGTTGACAACAACTCAAAGGTGCTACAAAATTTGATAATCAATTATGAACAAGAAGATATATTGGTTGCAACGTGTGATATACAACCATTTGAGCACGAAGAAATCAAATTGTGCTCTACATCCCAGAGTTCTATAAGATGCACACCAAGTGTTTGATTAACTGGTTTATTGAAGAAGACCAAGTAGCCAGGCGAATGGTGAAAATTCATCATCAACTATCCAAATGGCTTTTGAACGACTTGACGAGTTTTTAAGCTTGAGGTCATGCTTCCCCCAACCCCAAGAGAATGATGCAATTGGGTTTTAATTTTCTAAATCTATTAATTTTTTTTGAAGATTAAAATTTTGGTTAAGGATTATTTTGAGTTTCTAGTTTTCTTTAGAGGTATTTGTTACTTTTATTAGTTATAGAGAAAGGAGGGGTTGGAAGTTAAATATTGAATAAATGAAGGGCTAGAATTTAATATTGAGTAGGGTTTCTTAAGGAGCAAGTAAGGTTTTAGACTAGAAAAAGACAAAAAAAAAAGAGTTCATTTTAGGTCTTACGAAAAGATCCTTGGGTGACTCCCTTGTAGAACAAGAGAGAGGGTGTATTCTCTCACCCTTTGTTTTTTGTTTTTATTTTTCTGATTTCTTGTTTTCTTTCTCCCTACTCCCTGAATCATCCTCACATTGGATACAGCTTTTCTTTCGATCCCTTTATCATTCCACTATAGGGTCCCTCTCTTTTCCCATTGAATTTCATCACTAAGGGATTCCTTACGAGCTCAAGGGGCCTCTAATAGGTTCATAATCATCGTCTTAAATGGAACTTCGGCATTCAAGAACTCATTAAGTGGAACTGTCATTGTCAGAGGATGTGTAGTCCAGTCCGCTGTTTCATTCAATTTTTGATGTTTTGAATTTAATGTGAGATTGGACCTATTTTTGGAGCCAATCTTGGTCCAACAGGCAGAACCAATGGAACAAGTCAGTCTAGTTCATACTTGATAACGATGGATGGGTGCAGTGCCCCACTCTATCAATCCAAACTAACTAGGTGCTACCATTCAGTGTTTGCAAAATCGAACCGGAATGGTTAACCGGACATGGGCTTGGAAGCGGTTTAACCGGCCTAACTGGTAAACCGGCCGATTCAACTGCTCTAATTGGACAAGTCCCGAGCGGTAAAAAAAGGATTGAAAAAAAAAAAAAAAAAATACAAAAAAAAATCTACTAAAATATAAAAAGCATATAAAGAATGATTAAAACAAAATATTCAAATGAAGTTGAAAATTAATGAAAAAAATGAATTTTAACCCATTTTATATTTTTCAATGGCTATTTTTTAAATTTTCTAAAAAAGAAGGGAAAATATATAAGTGAGTATTAATGACCAAAACAATTTTTAATCTTTACCATAATGTAAAGAATATTTAAAAATGCATTACAAAGCACGTTCCTTATTTTTGAGAATTTATATACATTTTTTTGAATTTGTTTTTTTAAAATACCGGTTGATCACCCTAACCGCCCAATACAGGAACCGGCCACTAGCCGGTTCCGATCTAACCGGGCGGTTAGCTGTTAGATTAGGTGATTTTGCGAACATTGCTACCATTAGACCTCAATAGCCTGTGCTATCCTCTTGAGAGCCACAGTGAACCACTAATCACCTCTGCATTCTCTAACACAACTTGCAAATGTTCTAACCTGTCATAGGGTCAAAGCTTGGTTTTAACCCATAACCAGAATTTCCTCATGCTCCAACTTCTTCAACCCACTTAAAAGTTATAGCTCATTCTGGCTCCCATTTCGATATAAAACATATTAAAGAGCTGATATGCCCATAATGACTATCATTTGAAAATAAAAACCAAATAATTAGTTAAAAATGTATTTTTCCTTTTCTTTGAGCAACTAGTTTTAGTGTGTGGAAAACAATTCAACCAGGTCATTACTCAATAAATTAGCTCCATGACTCCTTTATCACCTCAAATCGATGCTGGATAATTTGATTCCAAATATCATAGCTTCACATGCTATAACATGTCAAACCAAAGTGTTTTAATTCTTTTTAAAGTGATGGACCTAATTTAAGAGAATCATAAGCCACAGAATTTGAGATATCTAACATCATCTAAAGCACCAAGCAAGGCCCTATTGACCAGAGCTTCTTATAGTTACTCTTGCTTTTCTGATAGAGGTTACTGCGACTGAATCTAAACTATGACCAAAGTGAAAGTACAATAATTTGAAATAAAATTCTTACACAAATATATTCCCAGGTTCAAGGAACTTGAGAGCCCCTTCCAGCAAGTGAATAGCATTAAAGAAGTCACCCTACACCTCAATGTACCAAAGATTGCCTTTCACAAACTGCTCAATGAAATAAATAATCTTATTTGCCATATTAGAGTTGGTGCTCCATATGCATTTATCCTATCACAACAACCAACCAACATAAACCCCAGTTCCTACCCATCAAACTGTACTTATTTAAAAATCTAATTTCCTTGTAGACTTTAGTCAAAGAGCCTATCTTATCTTCTAGCCTACCAAAGCCATAAACAACTAAAACAACCTTGCTTTCTTACTATGAAAACATTGCTAACCCATTCCTCCATAGGTCCCATGATCTGGTAGAATTTCTTAGCAAAAATATGCCCTTCTCTACTCCCTTCTCATCTCCCAAGTTTCTTCTGGTTTATATTCTCAGTAAATCCTACTTAGTTTCTCAACACAATAAACAACATTTTCCAAGAGAACCCTAACACCAACCCACC